AAATAAATGGCCTTTTTAGAAAGTGAACCATGGATGGGGAAATGTTGGCAGTTTTCTCAAAAAGGCTTGAATTCAAGAAGTTTTAGATTTGCGTGATTTTTTTTTGAGTTGCAAAATCCACTTGTACATGACGCTGCTTTTTTCGAAGTTTCTCAAGAACCATTCGAGCCAGAGAATTCGTTTTGGCATCGTTGGATAGAGAATTGAATGGAGGGGGGTCACGACCCCCTGGATCCACCCTACATAAAATACATAAAATGCAAATGCAATAGATAAGTTAACGTTGGAAACACCACAATACATATATTTTTATGTATACTAAATTACGCATAACAATTGCAGCAATTTGTTTGTTTGCAATAGTTCGTCAAGGTAGAAAGCGTTAGTTGAATACAACGAGAAAACATTATTCATGATATAATCCGGTTCTTGTTCTAAAACAGGTTTTCGTCGTCAAACGCTCTTGTTACATAAATAATCAAGTTAAAAAGTCACTGTTGAAGCAGTCTGCGTGTTGAACAGTCTCCATACTAATATGGGTGCCTTTGTTTTGCTCTTGCTGGCCGTGGCTGTTTTTGCAGTAAATGCGGCAAACAACAGCAACCCGGTGGTCAAGGTAAAGTACGATTTAATCCGCGTCATTAACTGAATAAGGCCGATATTTGACCAGCATGCATGCCTTACTTACTTGCCGAAAGAAAACTCTTAGAACGACGAAGTCCCGCAGCAACGAGTCGAAATTCACTCCAGGAAACCACGCATCTTGATCAGTTTTTATATGCATTGAAACTGAAACATCGGCTATTTTGCGCTTATCTTCCATATAAAATAATACTTTTAATTGGGTATGTTAGTTAGCGTGTAGGTCAATCTAGCCATGTCCAGGGGTCAGTTGAGCTCAAGAATTCGATAATAAAAGTGTATGTATATGCGTAAATCATTAAGCATCCATATGGGAAACGAGGTTTAGCGCCAGTAAAGCAATTCAGCTTTAATGCAAGAAAACCACATTTCGTAAAAATTTAATTTGTTGATTTTGTTTGGTCGCTCTGCAGGCGTTTACTGAAAACCAGCTCGTTCCCGACATCCTGCCCCAAGCTCCAGACGCGCTTCTGGATGTGGAATACAAAAAAAGCGGAAAAGTCGTCAGCTTGGGGAACGAAATTGCTCCGGTGGATGTAAGAGAAGCGCCGCAAGTAACGTTCAAAGCCGATGCCAAAGACTTCTATACGCTGCAATTCGTCGATCCGGATGCCCCCAGCAGAACAAACGCCACCAAGCGATCAGTCAACCATTGGCTAGTAAGTTGTTGGGGAGAGTTGTTAACCCCCCTTTCAACTGACTCTAGGAAACTGGGTGGTTAAAACGATTGATGATTACAGGTGGTGAATATTCCTGCATCCGATGTCTCGAAGGGTCAAACCCTCACAGAATATCTGGGTTCAGGGCCGCCCAAGGGCTCTGGACTGCATCGCTACATTTTCCTGCTGTACAAACAGCCAGGCAGGTTGACTTTTGATGAGAAGCTTATCAGCAGCAAGGAACTCACTGGCCGGCCTTTACATTCGGCCCAAAAGTTCGCGGAGAAGTACAAGCTGGAGTTGCAAGCCGGCAACTTTTATCAGGCTCAATATGACGACTCTGTGCTCGAGCTGCAGAAGAGACTCAACATTGCACCTGCTCCTGTATAAGTATGCACCTGCATTTACCTATAGTATAAAGTTATGCGCAATTCAGCTTGCACAAACAAGCAGTGGTATCTGAAATTGGAATATATCCAGTAATAACCGGAAAGCACTTCTAGGCCTATTTATTTCGATTTTTCCTTCTCTCATGGCTGCTGACCTCTTGGAACTGGATTGGCGATAAGCATAAGCGCATGTGAGTCAAAGATCACACAAGTTTGTTTGCAGAAAGTGCGCCGTCTTTATATGCCAGCGCGAAATGCCTATGTAGATACTTTTGGTTACACTGTGGCAGTTTTTTGAGTTAACACGTTGCATATTAAGTGATATGAAAAGTATATAAAAACACACGAAAAACCGTTGCAGTTCGAACATCCCAGAGTGCCATATAGATGGCTAATGGAAGTAAATTAAATTGTGCTTACCTAAAAACAAGCTCTTATTCCAGGAGCTTCTCATAATTAAAGACATGGGAAACCCTAGAAACTCAGATTTTCGGAATATTTGAAAGATTCCAACTCATTTCCACCTTTAACTTACGGCGAATTCTTGCAAATGGTTACGCAGGAACTGAACGAGGTGGATAGTGAATGATTTTCAGCCAGCAATTGAACGCTGATTCAATCATGTACTGGAGGACCATTTGAAGATCGTTTTAAAAGGTTGCAATTTGACTAAACGTGTCCGAACTGCGGAAATTGGCCACAGTGTATATGTAATTCCATAATACGTCTGAGATCCACGCAACCAGACGCAACCGGTTTCTTATCCGAATTTACGACCCAGAACTGAATGTGTGATGGACTGCATGCATAATACACTTATCAGGAAGAGATACGCAACTCGTTTATCAATCCAAGCAATTTATTAAGCTACTCATCGTCGTTCAGGAACTGACGGGTCCCATTCGGCCTGAAAAAAGTTTCCAGCAATAGGGTTGCCCAGTTGATGTTCTAGGGCGAATTGCCTAATGGAGAAGTTTCTTCTATTTGCTTCCAAATCGTTTCCAGCTACAGCAATTGGTCCAGGTTGATGAAAAACAACGAAGAAATACCTGTGTGATCCAGTGCCTTTCGGCGCTCCGGATCCTCTATAGGTGGCAATTGTTTGTCCGGTTGAAAGATCGTCCCCTTTCACATTGACGACGAGCCAATGAAGAATTTCCCTAAAAAATTGCATCGGTATGGTTCAAAAAGTGCTAACAGCAATTATATCCACCTGAAAGTTGGGGTAGCTCTACTGGGAGCATCAGGATCAATCATCGCCAAGGTGTACAATTGACTCGGGTCAGCGTTAAAGGAGACTTCAGGTTGCGGTCTTACCTCAGCTGGTGTTAATTTATTAAAGAGAACGGTTTTATTGCCTGGATAAACCACCGTAACCTGATCATCAGGTGCTGCATCCAGCGATTCTGGAACGATGCTTTCAGCTGTGAAGTTCTGAAATAGTTACCAAAAGTATAATATAAACATCTGCAGTGCCATTAAGCTTTTTTACCTGAGCAACATTTGAAGACGCCATATTTCGACTGCTTTTAAAATGTTGTGCAATGTTGAAATAGTCAAGTAAACAAAGTAATTGACTCGCCTTTATCTATGGTACTGATTGATAGGTGAAAGGATGTGCTCAAGCAAACGTTCTGATCCAAAGGAATCGCTCCTATTCTAACAGATTAAAGATCTCAAGTACTACCGAAACATGAACCACGTTCTAAAATTGCTTCAAATGTGTTCATAGGCAGGGATTTTTTTTATTCAAAGGGTCACTCCTCCAACCCAACAATAAGGTTAATACAACTCTTCGAATTAAAGAAATTTGAATAAAAACTTGTTTAACTCTCCGATGTATCAATTAAAGTTTGCGCTTTTATTCACTGGACAAAATGGCGAATGTAAATTAAAGACAAAACGGTCTTTTAAGTCGTTCGCCGTTTTGTGTTGAAGTTACATTCGTGGTTTTATCCAGCTACCCCTATCGAAGGGTTGAAAATATTTTGTTTCTAGTTTGGTCAGTAAACTTGATCCAACCCTTCGATAGGGGTAGCTGGATTTATTCAATTGTTTTTTTTAACTCGAATGGTTCTTACTTACGACGAAAGGAATCGATTGAGCTAAAAAAACACGCCGCGCTACGACTTTAGTCGACGATTTATTCGTTATTATTGGCCCAAACATTAGTGTTTTAATTGTAGTGGGACGATTTGCTATCTATTTAAAAAATATGGGCGTTCTCAGGTTTCCATCGCAAGGACACTTTCATTGGTTGTTAAATGCAACAAACATCCATATCAGAGAAAATTGAAACACTACGCTTACTTTGTTTCTTTAATATAATTTTCCAACAAATCTGGTAAAAATTTCTGTATAAAAATCTCAGTAAAAACGAAATTAATGTTAATAAATCCTAGATATTTATAAATTTAATACATGAAAAGTCCGCCCTTTTGAGCTCGCTGTATCAACTGCGCGTATATGTTTATACAAAGAGCGACTTTTCCGACATTTTAGCTTATTTAGAGGAAAACTTGCGGATAACTAGAAATTACATTAGGTATCACAATTCTCCTAATTAGATACAATTAACCCATACCACAAGGCTAAAGGCAGTGGTTAGTTTTGAAATATTCTAACGCATCATGTGGCAATTTTAAATAAATATTACATATATTTTTAGTTAAATATCACATCTTTGTGAATTTTCCTAGGCCTTGTCTATTCAGGAGCTAAGTCGATCTAAAAATAGAAAATTAATTAAGTGTGTGTAAAAGACTACAGAAAAACAGTGCCTTACTTACGAACGCGTCGGTTCACCAACAATGAATTAAAAAGCGAATTTGGTGTAAATTCATAATAGGAAATGCGAGAAATTCTAAAATTTTATAAAGCAACCAAAATGAACAGTAAACTCACCAACGGCTGATATATATCGATTTCTTAATCTAGTATCGTCTGACCCTGAGTTGTTGTCCGCAGACTCTTGAGCAGGAGCTTCAACGTCCACGGGTAACTGTTCAGCTGATAACAGCCTTTGCCGTTGTACTATCTCTTCCCTGTGAAGAGAAAACAAAACTTTCATCATAAAATTCACTAATTGCGAAGTTTCTTACAAGATAACTTCTTGGTGCTTTTTTCGGCCTCCCGGAGTCAGATTAAGAACACCTCTCTCCCGCTGGTCAATTATCAGCAAAATTGATGTAAACATGAACGCCACTGAAAAAATCCCAGCTGAATAAGACGAACTGTACCATCAGCGAATGACTTACTGAAGAGGTTGCCCAGGAAAAACATACTTAGCACTCTAAAGCCCCATTTGTCAACGATCGAGCCGGTGATGATGGACACGATGGCCAGTCCTAAATTTTGCACTGCCTGACATCTACAATTCCATAAAATATTTAATGAACTGAAAATAGTAAAACGCATTAACTCACACTCCGTATGCAGTTCCCAGCTGGTATTCGGGGATGATGACGGCCACTAGAGGCCACAGTCCACTGGCCAAGACGGAATACGCCACTCCCAGTATAATCTGTTAAATATTTCAGAAAATAATGTCTTCAAACTAAAATTGGGGGTTTTAACTTACAACTCCAATGTAGGGATCACATGCAGTGAATCCTAAAAGTAAATGGGCGATAATGGTGCCAACGGTGGATATCAGGATCCACAAAATATTCAGGCCTATTTTATCGATCAGGAATCCGGTGAAAGGAGATATAATGCCTGATATCAGGTATATGAGACTGCTTATGTGATCGGCATCTTTTACGTTCATTCTGAAACGCTGAATAAAAAATTGCCTAAAAAAGCGAAGCAATCAATTTTTGTCCTGGTAGCGTTTCCCCAACATCATCCAGGTATGGCTTCATACTTACTGCGCTAGGCTGATGAAGGGAAAAATAGCATTGTAGTATGTAACGCAGATGCAAGTGACCAACCAAAACGTGCCTTTGAAATGCTTTGCGTCGGTGATTCGGACTGCCTCAGTAGTGCGGGCCTCCGACCTTCTGGTCATTCGTTCGGCACGTTTGTCCATGTATCCCAAAATCAACGAACAGATCGTGGAAAACAGGCAAGTTGCCGAGGCTAAAACCGATGCTGAATTATAACACTGAAAGGCAATTAGAGTCGATCACTCACCGATGAGCAGAGACAAGCCCAAAATTTTTGTCCCTGTGGACGAAGTGGAAACCCACTGATAAATTGGCTCCATTAGCCAGAAATTTACGGTACTTCCCATCCGCGCAATGCTCATCTGCAGCCCGAACACCATGTTCAGCTCCTTGCCTTTGAACCACAGAACTGCATAGTTGTTTTGGGCCACCGCCAATGATTCGGAACCCACTCTAAAATTACAATATGCATGTACTCTAAAACTATATTTCAGCTAACGCTTTACCCAAAAACAAATCTGCCCAAAATCATTAACCAGTACTGGTTTACGTAGACGGCCGCAGTAAAAAGCAGTTGGCCTATCAGGGTCAGTCCCATGAAAATGTTGGCTCCAGCTCGAATTCCAAATACTCTAAAAAAGTTGAGTCTGTACTGCTGTTGAATCTAAAGCTAAGCTATTCTTTCTTACTGGTCGATCAAAAATCCTCCAACAAAACACATAACAACATTGGGCCAAGAGTAGACGGAGTAAAGGGCGGTGAATTGCGTCTCAGTCAAATTCAGGTCTTGTTTGAATTGTTTCTGTAGTGCGCTGGGGTTATCGTAGCAAAAATATGAACCTACGATTGTCCGTTGTTAGTTTAGAACACATATTTACTCAGTATGGTATAGATGACTCGCCTATACCTAATTGTCTTGTATGCCTAGGATACACCCAGATATGGAAATATATTTCTAAAGGCTATTTAATGACTAATTACCAGAAACGTCTATCGGATAAATGCTTGCAACATTATAACAAAGATAAACCTGACCATTCGTCATACTCTACAAATAAGAAGGTTTTAATGGTACCAATGCCGTTTTAATAGAACTGTACCCTGTACTTTTTATGTAACTTTTGAGTTTGTTTAGCAAACAAAGCAACTGGAGCTTTAAATAACATAAGCAAAGTCCGAAATATAAAATGCAAACTTACCAAATCCTAAAATGCACATAAATATCAGGGCTAGAAATCGATGTGCTTTGCCTGAAGGATGGCAGCACAGATGGTAAGCCCTATCGCAACATGTTTCTTCATCTTCAACTGCAACCTGAATATTGGGGCCCCCTTCCATGATCTTAACCCACCTAGACCCCACAACCTTCTCACATTAACTATAGTTATAGTCTTGTAGTTGCACACCAAATGGGTCAGTCTTCACTAAGTTGCATAGCTGAAGTTGAACAAATCACGATAAACTTCTGATAGAGAACTAATTTTTGCTAATTTGTTTCTGTTCTATCTGTGGCTTTGTTTCCAAAACAAATAATGTGAAGGCTAATTGTATTATGTCATTGGTGGTAAGCGCCTCATTTTCAATGCAACAAACAAGGATAGAACCCAAACCAGATCAGGTAATGGAGCACAATTTCGAGTTGAGGGTTTATAGTAACTACGTCACTTTGCGATAAAAGGGTGGCTTATTGGAGCGGATGCTATCTAAATAAAAATTACTGTTCCACCAAAGACCCTTTGCTTTTATTTATATACGAAACAGACCTTACCTCTGTTACTGAATTTATATGAATACTGGGCATATTTTAATTTTGAACTATTGCAGCTGCTTGATTGGGATATTTTCTCAAAAATCTTTTTATTTTCAGTGTTTTGTTTTCGTAAACATGTTGGCACAAACCCGTCTGATTCCTGTTTTGACTTTGCAACGATTGACATTTTGTCATTCAAAATTCTGTGGGTACTGGAATGGTGTTGAAGGTTCTGGAGGTATTCTTTTTAAGCCCTTAGGAAAGTCATGAACGAAATTGAAGACAGCCTTTGGTGCTACCTGCCTTACCCAGCGCTGTACAAAATTTTCCAGCATCTAAGCTACAAGGAGCTGATATCGACTGGGAACGTGTGTAAACTGTGGTACCAAGCTAGCAGGAATGATCTGCTCTGGAGGGATTTGTTTTACCAAAATTTCTTGGTGGATAGATCGGTGCCCGTGGTGGCAGGTTGGTATCCACATCAAGTGGCAATTCGCATGATTGCAGTGTGACTTTCTAGGCAAATCCTGGTACGAAGAGTTTAAAAGGCTCTGCTATAAGATACCTGTTGTACAAACAGAAACATTGACTGAACATACTCATCAGGTTTTGCATGTGAGTTTTTCTCACAACGGAAAGTATTTCTCCACATGTTCTAAAGATGGGTTTGTCACGGTGAGCATCGACCACGTCCGATATCCATAGGATTCGGAATGAGAACAGGCAGATATGAGCAAATCTTGTTTACTTGCAGGTGTGGAACTCCAGCTACCCAGCGTCAATAAAGTACAACAAAAACATGAAACATTACAAATGGAAATACACACAGTTTTCGCAGTTCAATGAGACGGACACTCTGTTGTTGGTGTCAGGAGTACACTTTGGAACCGTTCACAGTACCTCAGGAGAGATAGCGGTCTTTAATTTAGGTAAACTTTGGGCTGCTTTACACTAAAGTCGGATTTCAGTCAAAAACTCTTTTCTAGATGGCTTTTATCTTCAGTGCCGCGTAGTCAATAAACCTTACGATATTTTCGGCACGTGGTACAGCGACCAATATCTTCTATCTGGTGACTTGCATTGGTTGGCGCATCTGGTGAGCAGCTCGCATTTGTGGCTTAATCGTGCATCCCAGGAAGCAGATTCCGAACTGGTACTGCCCGATGGTTTATTATTGTGCACTTAAGCATTTCATTAGGACATGTTCCAGGTTCCTATCACTCACGGCTTGTTCCGGTTCTACAATCGAAATGCCAGCTCGATAAGGGCTATAATGATTGCCAATTGTCTGCCCAATTCCGAAAATATTAACTCGGAAGAAACGGAATACGCAGGAGTTCCGGTGGATCAAGGAGTCATTTTCGAACATGGAAACCCCGTCAGTCACCGGGATATGGGTAACTTGCCGAGTACAAGTAAATCAGGTATTGTCGAGTAGAGTCGTGCAACGCAGGGCTTCAATTCAACCAACCATTTGTTTGATTTGGTTGCAGTGTTTGACGAAATACCCATTCTAAACCCCATGAGGAATGGTGATGATTTCGCCAACCCGATTTGGTACAATTCGGAGTATCGTAAGGTTGAAGTCGAGCAGAGCGGGGCAGCAGGTGACGACAGTGACTACGAAATGGATCAAGATGATAACAATAAGGATGAAGGGTTCGATGATGACGACCGTTCCACATCAAGTGACGAGGCTGACGCTTTCAACGACAAGTATTTGATATTCACCACAGGGAACAAGACATACACGCCACATCAGATTGGTAAGCAAGTCTTTCATGGCATGACAGTATCCCACAAACTGTAATTCTGTTATTGAATCAGGATTCAAGCGAATAAAACCGTTCGTGTTTCCTAAAAAAATGGACCTTGGACCCACATTGAAAGAACGTCTGGTCTTACAAGAGCAGCGCAAAGAACAATTGAGATCGGCAAGTCCGTCGCAGGACCCCGATTGGCTCGATTTCGATAAAGTCGCAGACAAGTTCGATAAAATCGATCATTTGATCGATTTGCACGGACATATTGTCGGCATGGGCCTCAGTCCTGACCATAGGTTCGTTACGATCCCGTTGCCCTGAATTCACATTCACAACGAAACTTTACAGATATCTCTACGTGAACAGCAGGTCTTGGCCGGAAAACTACGTCATTAACAACCCGTTGGATCCACCACCAATCGCCCAGGAAATCGATATTCACGTAATAGATTTGGTAACTCTGAAACAGGTTGGAACAATGCTGAGGGCTCACAAAGCATACACGCCGAATAATGAGTGCTTTTTCATATTTCTGGACGTGTGTAACGAATATGTGGCCAGGTAAGTTTGATCAGGCAGATAAATAAAGCGAGTTCTGCACCTACTGCTTTAGCGGAGCTGAGGACAAACATGGATATATGTGGGATCGACACTACGGAGTGTGCATAGCTAAATATCCTCATCAGGACGTGGTCAATTCGGTCGCATTCAATCCGAGTGACCCGGAAATGTTGGTGACCACTTCGGACGATTTCAAAATTAAGATTTGGCGCTCCAGGTCTAAGGTGAAGGAACTGGGACTGGATGTCCGGGATTTTCCCATGGGCGTTGAATTGAGGAAAACTCCGCGGAAACAAGGTAAGCAGCTGATTATCCGAGGGCGATGTTTACCGGCCGTTTACTATTATTGTTTTCTAGGTGGTGGCACTAGAAGGAGAAGTGTAAACTATTCACCACATAGGGCTAGGTAATAACACTGTTTAAATGCCCAGGGTTGTATATAGTTATTAGTTTAGCCATACACTAATTAAGCGTTTTAATTTATTCGGCGCGACCATCAAAATACTCACTTTTTGTACTCTAATGCTCGGAGCACACATACGACCTTCTCTCGTTGCAGTTTTAAGTCCTAAGAAATAAGCTAGGAGAGTGAGAGAGTAAACAAGGAGTAAATTATGGGCCGCTCAATTTTTGGACAAGCTGTAATACTTATAATGCAGCGTTAGATTTTAGCAGTCTTAAATAGTCATGAAAATGTATAACATTTTTGAAAATCGGCAAAAGAAAGGGGCGCCTTTTTAAACAGCATTTGCGTTTGACCTCCGTGCATCCGTTTCTACGATGATACGGAAGTGTTAAAATACTTTCGTAACATCGTACAAACGGATGCATGGGACACGGGCTTTTGGCAATATCAAGTCAGATTTATAGTCGCCGTAAGGCAAAACGTAGGCCTAAGACGGAAGAAAATAAACCAATGAATAGCAGTGTATGCATTCATAGTAGCAGAATCGAATCGGAAAACGTAAGCCGCAAATTCGGAAATAGTTCAATTCAATTTCTTCCGTTACGTCTTACGTACAGCGTTTCAATCCCGCAACTTTTCAAGCTACCAGCTGGCAAATGTTGCATTGCAAACCTGGCAATGATTTCTGCAGATCAGTCTTTATCTATGATTAGATAATAACAGAATATCGTGTAATAATCATATCAATTTGCTGTTTTTCCTTACGTTTTACGTTATGGCCACTATAATTTCAGCTTAAAGCTTGGCGACCCTTTCGAAAAATGCTGCTCTGGTTACCTTCAAGCTCCTTTTGTTTGGGCATTTCACGTCAAAAAGTTGCCAATAACGAGTCGTTCGATTGGACAGTAGATAGGCCAATCGGAAGGTAAGACGATCCGCGATCCATTTTTCTTTGCATTAGAAATAAAACGCGACGTATTTCTAGGTAATTGTTAGATAGTAAATTAGGCATTCTTTACATTGTTACGCGTTGGTGCTTATACAATTTTGTAAGAAATTCTTTATTTCCCCTAGCTTGATTTTGTGATTAACCTGTCGGCTTAAAACGTGTCTGTACTAAAAACCAGTTTTATATTGAACTAATGGTTTCCGATAAATTTCGATAAATGTGTACCGATTTTTGCAAATATACATTACTGTGATCTTACTGATGAATTACCTACTTCCTTATGCATTTGGTTTAACGTAGACGCATTTAAACGCATATTCATTACCTTGAAATTATATTTAAAACACGTAAATAATGATAGCACAATCAACAACACATTTTATTCAAACGTTTTTCAATGATAACTGGTAACACAGTTCATTCTTCAATTCGAAACCCAGTAACATCACATGGCTTACACGCTATCACAGTGAAAATTAAAAGATTTTCAATTTCTGACTTGCAATTTTAAATGCCTTTAATGACGAAACATTACACTTATGCACAAACGCAATACTTGAAAACCAAAATGCCAACTATCGTGTTTGAAACGAGTGTGATTTATTACCCTGTGGTGTTTGCTCCTGGCTCACCAGAACTGGGAACATCTCGTTCTTGCGTGTCAGTTTCAGTTGCCGCTGGTTCCTCCGTCTTTTTCTTCTCCACGTGCCCTTGGCAATGCTCGCATTCATCATCGGATTCATCTGAAGAACTTTCACCGAATTCTCTGGGTTTCTTGTATATGCAACAACCTACACCAAATGAAGTTTTATAGATTTGCCATTTACTCTCAACGATCAACCCTTGCTTACATTTTGATTTTTTCTTTCCTAAATTTTCATTATCTACAGTTTCTGTGCTCCACTGGACTTTCCTGCCTTTTTTAGGCTTTTTCAATTTGACGGTTATTCGCGGAACAGCATGATCCTAAAACAAGACGTGTACACAACAATGRGAACAAAATATGTTATCGAAACTAATGGSGTTTTCGGGTTTTTAGGCCGTCGTTTGGTAGAATTTCTTCTTGACGTTTCGCAAGCACGAGTGGCTTGCATCTTCAGAAGTGGTTTGCTTGAACGCTTACACTGTTCTCATCAGAACCCGCATTCAGTTCTTCCGCAGAACTGAACGGGCCTAAAAACCCGAAAACCCCATTAGTTTCAAGGAATGGCCTCGAAAGTCTATCTCTTTTGATAAAATATGTTATCGTCTAAAAGATTTTAAGTTTTGATGTATAGGGCATACGGTACAAATTAAAAAGCGAAATTACAAAACAACTGAGAATATAATTTTCAACAATTTACACGCTGTATTGAAAAATTACACAATTTTTGCTTAACTAATAATTTTCATTTCTCTCAATTCCCGTATCTTTTTTGTATCGTAGCCCAATACTCCTGACAACACTTCTTCGGTGTGTTGGCCTAAAACTGGAGGCGGGGTTCTAATTTCATTGCCTCCCTCGCTGTAAGTCACAGCAGGACCAACAACTCTGATTTCTCCTGCCGTTGAATGGTTCAGAGTTTTCACAATATCAACGCTTTTCACGTGGGGATCGTTAAAAGTAGCCCTCAGGTCGTTCACGGGGCCATTTGGAAAGGACGAACTTGCAAAAACGTCTGCCCACTCGCTATTGGTCTTTGCAGATAAAGCCCTGCCGATTATTTCAATTAGTTCTAGTCTGTTTTTCACTCTAACTTCATTGGTAAGGAATTTGGGATCGTCTGCTAGTTCCTTGTGATTGATAAGCCGGCAGAACTCAACAAACTGTTTATCTGAGCCCGTGCCAATTGTGTAGTAACCGTCTTGCGTTGGAAAGGCTTGATAAGGCACAATGCTTTCATGGGCAGTGCCCCATCGTGTTGCCTCTTTGCCTGCATTGAGGTAGTTGGAACCGATGTTGATTAATGTTGACAATTCGGTCGAGAGAAGATCGCAGTCAATCTTTTGCCCCTTTCCTGTCTTTGCTCGCTTTAACAAGGCTGCTAAGATTGCGCCATGGGCATACAAACCTAAATTCGATTGTAAATAATATTGCCGATGAATTATCTGAGTACAATTTACCTGTAGACAGATCAATTAAAGCCACTCCAGTTTTGCAAGGTTCGCCGTTTTCAGGGCCAGTTATGTGTAAAAGTCCGCCTATTGAAGCTGCGATCACATCATAGCCGGGTCTTTTACTATACGGACCTTTAGATCCAAAGCCTGTTATGGAACAGTAGATTAAGTGAGGGGCTATTTCATAAAAATGCTCATAACCCAACTGCAAGGAATCCAATTTGCCTGGCACGTAGTTTTCGACTAGAATGTCAGACACTTTGGCCAGTTCGTACAGAATGTTTCTGCCTTCTTCAGATTGTATGTTAACACAAACGCTTTTCTTGTTGCGATTAAATGTAATAAAATAGCAGGACTCTTTGGTGTCACCCACAAATGGAGGACCCCAAATTCGAGCTTCATCTCCACGGCCTGGTTTTTCAATTTTTAGCACTTCAGCACCCAAATCTCCTAAAATCATGGTGCAGTAGGGACCTGCCACTATTCTGGTAAGGTCCAGAATTCGGATACCATGTAGTGGCGCATTTTGCACTGCAGCAGCACTGCTTATTGATCTCGCCACCTCTTTATGTGCAATTTGCTTTGCAAAACGGAGCATCGAACTCTTTAGACACCACATCGATAGAAGATTCACACTGTAACTTTATGTAAAGGCAGGATTATTTACCTGTTCATCACTGGTTTCGACCAGGGTCACCGTTGATGTGGAAGGTTCAGGGTGTTGTGGAGATGGCACTGATTCAGACATGTTTTAGAAAGATATGCACTACGTAGCAGCACTGTTCTAAGGGAGATTATTTCTATTGTTTATTCGGTTTGCTTAATTACATTGCCGGTAACACTGCAGATAAGATAATAGAAAACACAATCATATGGCCACAGATCACAGAGGTTACTCTCACAAAATATCCCCCCTATATAGGGGGTATGTTCTGTGGTTACTCTGTAACTGTCTGTAATCTGTGCATATGACATTGGCAACAGGTTTAGGGTTCTCGTAAAGTTAGGTTAGATGGTTTGAAGTGTGGCGAACTCTATCCGCCACTTCTCAACTAGCAGGCCCAACCGAAACGCCAGCTATATCTCATCGCATAATATCTGTGGCGTTTCGATTCAAATAGAACTTCCAACCTATGTTCCGTATCCGGCGTCTAAGGCAGGGCCTACCTAAGCCTTACTGACGAGTCCAATATTTTTCAGTATCAATGGGAGAAATCTCAGCTTTTTCTTGTGCATTGGACACACTGCATCACTGTATTTGACATTGCAGTTGAGCAAGATGGCGACAGAGGGCAAGACGTGTTCTGCTTGTAGCTTTCAGATAATAACGCTTAAGCTTGGTTTATATACATTATTTGTAAGACTGGCATTGTACTCAAATCCAAATCAAATTCATTCCTGGCTTTCAGTTATTTATGGTCTCTATTTATCAATCAAAATACACCGAAACGTATTTTGATTGATAAATAGAGACAATAAATGACTGAAACCCAGGAATGAATTTGATTTGGAATTGAAACACAGTCAGGAAAGTATATACATTGTACTCAAAATGAGAACTACTGCCATTTTATGGAAAATCCTAATGATTAATCGCACTTAATTATGTTCCACACCTTGTAAGCTACATCAATCATCAAGCTGATTGAAAGAGGGTTCGGCGTCCCAGGTTTTAATGTTTCAATGAAAAAATTAATTTTATAACAAAAATTTCACTTAATTATTATTGTTCACTATTCACTATCTGCAAACCATCAAAACCTCAATTTCCACTATTGGAGAGTTCAAAAGGCCAAAATTATAGCTACAAGTTAAGTAGTAATTTGACACTTGGTTTTATTGACATTGGTGTCACATTGATGTTTACATCTGAATGTGATTTGTTTTGTTCAAATCAACGTTTGCAAGCTTTTAAAGCAATAGAAACAGATCGAAAAGTGTGTAAGTATTGTTTTATGTTATAAATGTCATCAACTCCAATAAATAAACAAGTCTGACAAGTCTCAACTGTCAATCGACAATGAGTAATTTGACGTTCCGCAGCGCCACCATCGGTAGTTGAACTGGCGAATTTATTTTTGCTTGTCATGTACAGGGTGTTGCCTCATAAGTTGACACCCCCTAGATCGCTTGTTTCAAAAAAATTGTGAGTGACCAACACAAAAGCGGTTTAATTTTACTCAAATTTTTTAAATCTGAATTTGGAATAGAAATATAAAACACGGAAATGTCAGAATTTGACATAAATTCATTTTTTTAATGAAACCCCCTATATATTTTTAGACATGCCTACCAATAGATTTTTTTTTCCTGATTTGAAAAATATTATTATATTTTGCCTATATTTGTATTAGCCGTTTTTCCTATATTACGTTTCAAAAATTATAAATAGGAACAAATCAAAGTAGCCTTGAAATTTGACTGTCCACTTATGAGGAAACACCCTGTACATGTTTTTGCGTGTGGTGATCATGTTTCTCTGTATTCACATGAAATTTCATTAGGAAAGCCATTTGAACATGTTCATAAAATGCAGCTTTCGCTATGTATTTGTTACTGCTTAATTTACCCATCGCTTCGATTATAGATTAAGAGTGTATCAGGTCGATATTTATCTAATTAGTTCTATCGGACCCTGACTCAACTCCACGCGTTTAGGGAAAAGCGTTAAAACATCGTCCATATACCAGTATTAACGAGATGAATATCAGTTGTCCTCTATCGTTTGTCGGGTTTATCGAAGGATTACGGGTCTTCTAGGAGCATTCCTCTTTGGCAATTGGCATTGTGGTAACTTTCCCGATGGGAAGCATTGATATCATACGATCTGATATTGTTAGCGTGATGCCGGATTACACTAGACGAGAGAACTACGTATATTCTGGATCAGGCGTTAGGAAAACCGTTTAAACGCTCGTGGTTTTGTAAAAGGGGCCTTATTATTCGATGAAATTGACAAATGTCAATGTTTATGGTTAAAACATCCACCTCATTCGTATATATGAAGGTACCTACTAACTAGAGG